TGCAACTTTGCTTATTTGCTTATTATTTTCATTAGAGTCTTTGGGATTCTCTATGTATTTTATCATATCATCTACAAATAATAGCTTTATTATTTATCATTTGATTCTTTTTATAGCTTTATCTTGCCTAACTTCTCCAGCTAGGACTTCTAATACTATGTTGAATAGCAGTAGAGAGAGTGGACATCCTTGTCTTATACCAAATTTTAGTGGAAAAGCTTTCAGTTTTTCACCATTGAGAATGATACAAGCTGAGCGTTTGTCATATATGGCCTTTATTATGTTAAGATATGTTCCACTTACACCCAGTTTTTCAAGAGTTTTCATTATTAATGGATTCTGAATCTTACCAACTGCTTTCTCAACATCTATTGCTATGATCACAGTGGTTTTTACTTTCCTTTTTGTTGATGTGGTGAGTTACACTGATTGACTGTCCGATGTTGAAACATCGTGTGTTCCTGGTATATATGTTACATGGTTATGATGTATAATCCTTTTACTGCATTGTTGGATTTAGTTTGCTAAAATTTTATTAAGGATTGTTGCCTCTGTGATCACTTGGGCAAATGGTTTGCTGTCATTGTGTTGTTTGAATCAGCACAATGTTGGCCTCATTATATGTATTTGGAAGTATTCCTGCTTAATTTTTTGAGAGTTCAAGCAGAATAGGTGTTAGTTCATCTTTGAAAGTGTGGTAGAAATTGCTTGTGAAGCATTTGGTCCTGGACTTCTGTTTTTTGGTAAAGTCTTGATTTCTGTTTCAATTTCCTTGTTTGTGATTCATCTGTTCAGGCTTTTTTTCTTTTATACTCCATCATGGATGACTGTATAATTGTAAGAATGCTTCCATCTTGTCTAGGTTGTCAAACTTGTTTCCATATAAATGTTCATAATAATCTGATTATCCTTTGAATTTCTGCAGTCTGTTGTAATTTCTCCTCTTTCATTTTTGATTTTTTTACTCCCTCTTTTTCTAATAAGCTGGTCTATTTTATTCATTTTTTCAAAGAATCAGCTTTCGGTTTTACTGATCTGTTGGACTATCTTTTCAATTTCCATTTCATTTACAGAAATAGATTTCTTTCCTTCTGCTGAATTTTAGGTTTTTAAATTCTTTTCAAGTTCCTTGAGATGAGAGGCAAGGTTGTTGATTTGGGCTCTTCCTTTCTTGATGTGGGCCTGTATTGCTACATACTTCCCTCTTAATACTGTTTTTGCTGTGTCCCATCATTCTGAAAGTTTGTGCCCTCATTATTATTTCTCTTAAGAGAAATAATACTTTTTGATTTCTTCTTTGATTTCCTCATTAACCCAGTGGCCTTTCAGTAGTGGGTTGTATAATCAATGCATTAGAGTACTTCATTATTTTATTTTTGTAGTTGAGTTGTTTTCTCTAATGTCTATTTTCAGATTTAATAGTAATAGTCTGATGTATTTTGATGTTCCTTCATTTAGTAAGTATATATTGATGAGTATTATCTCTTCCTGCTATATTGTTCCCTTAATCATTGTATAGTGTCCATCCTTGTCTCTGGTTACCTTTTTAACATGGAAGTGCATTTTATCTGACATTAAGTATGGCTGTCCATGCCTTCCTTTGGTGTCATTTGCTTACATAATTGTTTTCCATCCTTTAAGTGTATGTTTATCCTTGGAACTTAGGTGTGCTTCCTGGAGGCAGCAGAAGGTTGGATTCTGTTTCCTGATCCAACTCATAACTCTGTGTCTTTTTATTGATGAGTTTATAGTACATTTACATTTGGGGTGATTACTGACATATGAAAGTTTGCTGCTGCCATTTCATCCTTAATTTTGTGATTCTATTTAATTGCTTGTTCAGCTTTTTTGAGTGTTTATTCCTCTCTTTAGTTTAATTACTAAGGCTTCACTCAATATTCCTTGGAGAGGGGCATTTAGTGGTTACAAACTCCCTGAGATTCTGTTTGTCTGAGAAGGTCTTTGTTTCTCTCACATATGTGAAGAAGAGTTTTGCAGGATAGAGTATTCTTGGTTAGCAATTTTTATCTTGAAGTATTTTGAATTACTCATTCTATATCTTCTTGCCCATAGTGTTTCTTCAGAGAAGCCTGATGTTAGCCTAGTCAAGATTCCTTTATAGGTCATTTGTTTCTTCCTTTTTATCAATTTCATTATTTTTCTTTGTCATGGTCTCAGAAGTTTTACTACTATATCTACTATATATCTTTTTTAAAAAGATTTATTTATTCATGCATACAAGAACTGGGGTACAGGCCAGAGGGGGTTGGGGGGGTAAGAGGATTCACCAGAGACAGAGTGGGGAACAGAACAGGCAGCTCAATGGAAATACACTGCTGAGGGGAGCAGCGGGCGAGTCAGGAGAGGTCTGCTGCACCATGTGGGTTGCTTCCTGACTGGGGATCGAATTTGTGCTGCAGTGGCTTCAGATTGCTTCATAGGTTGCATCTTAACCCCTTGAGCCACCAGGGAAGACCCCTATATCTACTACATCTCTTACTGTAGGTCTTTTTTTTTTTTTTTTTGCTTAGGTGTTAGGTAACCTGGTGTTCTGTTAGCTTCCTGTGTTTTTATGTTCAGTTCCCTCTCCAAGTTTGTGAAGTTTTCTTCCATTATTTTTTTTTTTTAAGATTGATTTATTTATTTATACAAGCACTGGGTACATACAGTCAGAAGTGCGGGAGGGTGAGAGAATTCACCAGAGCCGGAGCGGGGAACAGAACAGGCAGACTGACTAAGAAATACACTGCTGAGGGGAGCAGCGGGCAGCAGGAGAGGTCTGTGCGCCATGTGGGACCCTCACCCGTTGGCCAGGGATTGAACAGGCGCTGCAGAGGCTGCAGGCAGCTTTGCAGCCCAGCGCTCAACCGCTGCACCACCGGGGAGGCCCTTCTTCCATTATTTTTTAAAATAATTTTCCAGTTCCCTTATCTCTCTCTTTCTGAGATACCCATGGCATCAGATAATTCTCCAAGTCTTTCTTCATTTTTTTAGCTTTGTATCTCTCTTTTTCTATTTTGATTTTTTCCCCATTTGACTCTTTGATCTTACTTATTTATTTTTGCATTAGTTTAGTCTACTTCTTTGACTTTCTAAGAATGTTTCATCTCCTCCACTTACCTTTCCACTTTTTTGAATTTCTACTATTTTCTTACTTAGAGGTTCAAATTTGATCATAACTCAGACAGTTTAGAGATATGCAGGAAAACTCAAAAAAGGAAATGAATGCTATGAAAAACAGAGTTTTCTTTGTATTGCTCCAATTCTTTGATTTTCTTAATAATATGGCAGTTTTTACTTCTGCATCTGATAGGAATAAAAGCTCTTCCATGTCTTTGTGAGTTGGTCCTGGATATTTGTTTTCTCTCCATGATCTACTGTTCCCCTGAGGACTTGCTTGGCCATTTGCATTTCTGTTTCTCCCCATCATTTACTTTCAGTTTGTTCTGTAGTAGGAAACTTTGTTGTGTGTGGGTCCTCCTTTTCCGCTGTTTAGGGTGTTTACCAGTTGGTGGGCATGGCAGTTGGTGCTTGTGGGGTTTGGTGTGGTGCTAGAAATTCACTCCAAGTCTACTTGGGTCCAGGATCCAGGCATTGCAGCATCTGGGTCTGGGCAGGGGCTAGGGCCAGGAATGAGAGCAGCCCTGCAGCTCACCTCTAGGTTCACTGGGGCCAGTATCTGAGCATCACAGTACCCACATCTGAGGACTAGGGAGTTGAAAACCTTTTTCTAATGGTCTAAACACATGAGTTCTAGCCAAGTTCCTCATAGGTACATGGCTCAGCTCTTTGCTTTGATCCTTAAACAAAAGTTATCCTTTTCTCCTAGAAGGTCTGAAATTTTCTTATGAATAACAGAGGGATGAAGTCTCAGAGTGAGTGCACCATGAATCTGTAAAGGCCCAGCGGCCAGTTCAACACATTGCTGACCACTCTTTCAACTGACCTAATCTGGTTCAGTTCTGGTTCCTGCACAGAAATGCTCATGGCCAGTAGCCCTGGGTCTTGGCATCAAGCTGGCCAATTTGTCTTTTTTCAATCTCTTGCCTCAGACTCTTAAGCTATCTATCCTGCCCCATGGACAGCCTTTGGAGTTCCTCCCTCTCCTATTTGTGCTTCCTATCCTCTAAAATCAATAGCATTAGATGGACCAACTGCAGCTCTCTAAAAAGCCTTTCACTTCAAAAATCACAAACTTAGAAAAATGTTCAGGCTCATGAGAAGGGAGGGTGAACTTTCAGAAAGGGGTTAGTGCAGCTGGACCAACCCTGCAGGAGTAGGCCATATCAGTGCACGGGAGGTGCTATGTCAAAATCTGGGCTACCTTGTGTTTAATGTCACCAACAGGTCTATCTCTAGCATTTTCAGCAAAGGAAACTGATTCCAGGCAGGCAGCACCCATTTCCTGAATTCTGAGGACATATGTATTTGGTGAAATCATGTGTTTTCATTTGGAATACTATCTCTAGAAACGGAAGGTCTGGGTCAGATTTTGCTTTACAGTCATGTGCGAAAGTCACTTAGCCTTCCTGAGCCTTGATTTCTCTGATATAGGAAAGCAGGTAACCAGCCACCCTGCCCTCTTTGGTCAACTTTATGGAAATCTTACAAGTGAAAAAAATCCATCCTGGGACAGCCCCATGCTAGGTACACTGATGAGGTCTCAGTATTTGCTATTTTTCCCAGTTCATGTTTCTGCATGTCTCGTGCTATCTGTCCCCACTGGGCACACGGATTCCCAACACTAGGGATAACTATGATGGGCTTTAGAAATTAGCATCCATTTGTCATACCTTCATTTGAAATTATGTGAATACAGTAATCTCATTTGAAGTTGGAAATTTCAAAATTTACCACACTAAATGCCACTCGACACGTGAAAATCAAAGAGCTAGAAATGCAGTCTGAATGCATAGCATTTCTATTTTAAAAAGTCAAAAAGTTACTGATGTAAAGTTAAACAAATAAAACTAGATTTAACCTTTCTAAGAGTGGCTGTTTTCAAGAACAAGTAAAATTAACACTGGGTCTGCCAGTCATGACAGTGGAGATAGAAGGGAAAGAAACATTTGGAGACAAAGGTTGGGATGTGAGAAAGAAATGTAGGACTGGGAAAAACTGAGTCTTCCCCCTGATCATGATGTGCAGGGCTGCCAAGCTCACCCTGTGGCCCCAAACATGTAGACCAGCAAGTCAGAACACAATCCTTGCTAGTGTGGACGCCCCAATCCATGACACAAACACACAACCTACCAATACTCTCCTGACCTGAGGGAAGCTCCACACTGGGAGAAAAGCATCACATCTCCTGTTCATTTATTTAATCACTCTCAGTCACAACTCCTTGTATCCTTGGGCAGGCTCCCAGAACTCCCAACAGTGCCTAGCACACGAGGTGCTCAAATGCATTCCTACTATGAAGACAACATGTTCTACCTTCCAGGAGAGCATGGGGGCAAAATGCCTCCATTTCCTGACTAGCCATGCTAGGAGAATAGGCAGCAGCCATGCACATACCAACCCACATGTTGTGTAGGTATACAACACATACACACATGCACTTCTCTAGATATGCAGGTATAGGATACACTCATGAGTATTCCTGAATTAGGTGAAACACAGGTACATGTACATACCTGGACCCGGGTGATGTGCAGGTACAGAACACAGGTCACCAGGAAACAGATGCAGAACACCAACAGAAGCAGGAGGGCCAGACTCCTAGATATAGAAGACATACAGTTACTGTGAGCTGGGGCAAGGTGAAGCGTGCCCTAAAGGTGCCTGGGAATCAACCCACATCCCACACTCTACCCAGCATGTCACCCAGCCCTCAGGAAGAAGCAGAACCTCAGGAAGAAGCATCAAGTCTCCGGGGTCTTGCCTAAGCTGGTTCTCTTCCCGTGTCCACTCCCAAGTTCTACCCCTGTAGCTTGCAGGATCCCCAGTCCTGAGAACTTCCTAGAGGTGCCTTCCTCAAGAAGCACTAAAGTTGCACCGACGTGGCCACTGGACTCTGCTCTTTTACTGTACTTTGTCTGGGAAGGGGTTCCCTAGAAAAGGTTTGATCCCATATAGGTCCATCAAGGCAGTGACCCTCACCGTGTGCTCACATTGTCTGGGTGGGGGGTGGGGGGAGGGGAACAGGACAGTTTCTATGTGTTTTCTTGAATCTCTCAGGAGAATTACTCCAATAAGGAAATTTATTAAGAAAGGATGTTGGCAGGGTGGGGGGTACAGAGTGAAGGTTTTCTGGGGTCTTCTTTGATTAAAAAAAAAACCTGCCAAATTAAAATCACAGTTTTCTTCCTTTTCAAGGGTCACTTTTCCTCATTTTAATATTTCTGAAAAATGCCATGCACCTAGAAACCAAGTATCCATTAGGTGTGCTGTAGGTTTTTTCCCTCAGAAACTATCATGACGTCTTTGGTGCGTGGTCAAAGACATGGATAATACAAGTGTCTTAGAAGTAAGTAAATTAAAAATTGAAAATCAAGAGTACCAGTCCCATACAACTTGGCATAAAGGCTTGCTCAACTAGTTACTTGAATAAATGGAGAAGTGGTACGTGGCTCATGCATCCCCAAACACTGGGCATGACAGGAGACTAACCTTGGGAGTCAAACTTGAATATAAAGAAATTCCCAATAACTTCATCTTATGGCAGGACACAGGACAACACTTACTGTGGGATTATGAGAAGGTAGACAAGGCCAAATAAGGCAGCCAGAATGAGGGCAAGCACGACGGCACTGGTGAAATACTCGTCCTGAAGCTGGTGGTACTATGGGATACAGAATTGACCATCAGTGGCCCAGCTTCCAGGAGACATGCAGACTCTGTCTTCCCAGGGATACCGAGGATGCTCAGAACCATTATGGGTGGAGAAGGACAGTGCCCATGCCCACACAGACCAGGAGAAGGGCCAGCAAGTGTAGCTGCATCTGGGGCCCGGCATCTCTGGTCACTGAGACGGATGACCTACCTTTCGCTCTCGCTCGGCTTGCTTATACTTCAGAGTGAAGAAGTTCAGGTCAGCCATCTCCAGCTCTGTCTGGCGGGCTTCCAGGAGGCGGCCAATGTACCTGTTAACACGTGTGCCCGGGGTGGTATAGACAACATTCGTAGAGAAAGATGAGCGGTTTCTGAGTTTCTCTGAAGTTGTTCTCAATGCCCTCCGCTGCAGCCATTGTGAAAAGAAAGGGAGATAATCAAATTCTCCATTTACTGAAGAAAAGAACTCATGCTCCCTCCACTCTGCGTCACTGCCCTCTGCAGAGTTAGGCTGCACTTGGGGATCTGAGATGTAATTGTAGGTTCACCACCAGCTGGTAGGGAGATCCCCAAGCCAGTTACAGTGCCACTGCTGTGCAGGTCCCCCTTCTGTAATGGGGTGCCATGGCACCTATGTGGTAGTACTGTGAGGAGGGCTGCAGGGCCCCACATGTGCCATGGGTGGGTCAGTGTCCAGCACAGAACAGTGATACAAACACTGGTTCTTTGAAAATACCAATAAAGTTGGCAAACCTACAGCAAGAGTGACCAAGAAAAATAGAGAAAAGACGCTAACAAATTCAGAATGCAGAGTAAGTTTACAATGGACCTTGAGACACACATACTATAATTTACCCAGAATGAAAGATAATGGGAATAGCCCTATAATAACTAAAGAATTTGAATTCATAACTTTACAGTTCCTGAGAAAGTGTTCTCCAAATAGTTTCACTTGAGAATTCTATCAGACATTTAGAGAATAACACCAATTCTACACATTCTCTATCAGGAAACAGAAGAGGGACAACACTTTTCAAAGTTAGTATTATCCTGGTATCAGAATTAAAGATAGCAAAAAAAAAAAAAAAAAAGGAAAACTATAGGAAATACCTCTCATGAATATAAATGCAAAAACCTTTCATAAAATATTAGCAAACAGAATTCAGCAATATATAACTAGAAATATATGACATGACCATTTTTAGGATTGCAAAACTGGTTAAATATTTCAATTTCAATGTAACCCACCATACCCCATGGTCATATCAATTGATACAGAAAAAGCATTGGACAAAATTCAATACCCATTCATGCAAAGAATGGTGAGAAAACCATGGGGACTTCCCCAACTGGATAAACAGCATCTGTAGAATATGTACTCCACACTCACTGCTGAAAGACTGAATGCTTCCCTGCCAGCTCTGGATGAAGGCAGATATACTCTTATTCACACAGGACTAACTAGAACTTCCAGCCAGTACAATAAAGTAAGAAAATGAAATGAAAGGCAAACAAATCAGAAAGAAAGCTGTCTCTATTTGCAGATGATATGATGATCTACATAGAAAGGGAAGGGGAGAATCCTAGAATGAACAAGTGTGTTTTACAAGATCACAGGACATGATATCAACATTAAAAATCCAGTGGCATTTCTTTATAGTAGCAGAGGATGTGAAGACCAAAATTAAAATATAGTACTATCCACAATCACTAAGAAAAATGGACTAGTAGACATAAATCTAAAAAAAAAAAAAAAATCAATCTTGTATGCCCACAACTATACAGCACTGATTAAAGAAATCAAAGATCTCAATAAATAAAGACACTTAACATGGTTTGGATTAAAAGGTTCAGTGATGACAAGGTTCCCCATTTTGACACACAAAGATTTAACATACTTCCAGTCAACATCCCAGAAAGATTTTTTTTGTAGACAAAATTATTCTAAATATTAAATGAAAAGGTAATGAGACTAGGATAGCTCATTCTTTATCAAAAAAAAAAAAGGGGGGGGCGGAGCAACATGGCAGCGAGGAGACGCTGCGAGTAAGATCTCCCATTAAAAAAAGTTAATAGGGAGGAAAAGCGGCAGGTCCCAGTGAGAACTGGGACACGGAAGATAAACAGGTGACGCCAGCAAACTGCCCGAAGAAGAAAGTGGCCATAAAAGAGGACCAGAAGGGAGGGAAGCGCAGAACCCTGCTCCCCTCCCCCACCCACAGAGGCGGCACTCTCCGACCGGCAGAGAGGAGGAAAACAACAAACTAAAACGGCCAACAAGAACAAACGACGCAGCAAGCGGGACCGTGAGTGGAAAGGAACTATTGCAGCCACCACACCCCGTGAACGGGAGCTGTGGAGAACCCCGCAGGATCCGCCGCGGAGGTGAGCGAACGGCTCCGGGCGCCATTAAAGAGAGACCCCGCCCCCGGGGAGGAGACCAGCACCAGCACACAGCCCCGGGCCTCCTGGTAAGCTTGGGCGGAAAGGCAGCGCGCTGGAAAAACAGGCGCGGATCGCGGTCAGGATTGCGTGGAACAGCAGCGCGCTGGAAAACCAAGTGCGGATCGGAATCGGGATCGCGCGCGGAAAAGCAGTGCAGTTGAAAAGCAAACGCGGATCCAGATCGCAGCTGCCCAGGTCCCTGCGCCTGCGACCTAGGCTTGCGGGGAGACGCGCGGAGGCCCTCACTGAGTGAGCAGGCCCAGGCGCCCAGGCACGGGAGCGGGATTCAAAAGGCGCCATTCCCGCGCCACTGAACTGGGCTACAGCCTGAGTCCTGGAACTGAGGGCTTTGGAACTGACACCCGGGGCACGAAACTAGGGGCGTGGGTTCCCCACGATGGTGGGGCACAAGGCAGACACAGCACCCCAAAGCCGTTGAGGTTTACCCTACCATTCCCGCTCTATTCCCTGTCCCACGGGGTGGAAAATCAGCTCCCCAAGGGCTCCAGGAGAGATCTCTGGCGCCACCTAGCGACTTGAAGCCAGCAGAGGCGCCTAGAGGAGCCAGTGGCCAGCTGGGGAGTTAGCCCACGCCGGGCCCCTTCCGACCAGTAGTCTGAGCCCACAGGGGGAGCGAGCACCCACAGCCGGGGCAGACCAGGCGCGCAGAAGAGTGTGCCTGAGACCGGACGCACAGGGAGTGTGTCCCACATCACCATCTTAGAACAGGGACATTTCTTCAGTAAAGACTACCTGCAGAAGGCTTCCTCAGGAGCCAGAGGTGAGCGGGGGAAGTTCGCCCACGCCAGACCCCCTCTGGCCTGCAGTCCAAGCCCAGAGGGGGAGCAGGAACCCACCGCCGGGGCAGACCAGGCGCACAGGGGAGTGTGTCCCCACATCGGCATTTTAGAACAGGGACCTTTCTCCAGTAAAGACTGCTTGAAACTGACAGATGACTCCTGGAGGAACCAGAGGAGAGCAGAGAAGCTCACCCAAGATGCCGGCCAGTCCCAACTACACAGTGTCCCAACGCATACGGCAAATTAGAAAACAGACAGTAGGGAGGAGAAGAACCACACGCAACCTAGCAACTCCCCAGGGAAAAAGCACACCACAAAAAGAAAAGCAGCCCCCAGATTGCAACGACAGTAACTTGGAAGAACTTCTGAGCCTTCCAGAAAGAGAATTTAAAATTGCCGTGATTAAAAAACTGACAGAAGTCATAAAGGAAAACAATGATAAGGGAAAAATAATCAACGATCAGAAGAATGCAATTGAGTCCCTAGAGAGGGAAAACAATGGTCAGAAGAATGAAATTGAGTCCCTAAAGAGGGAAGTAAAAGAAATGCAGGAGATCAAAGAATTAATGGAAGAACTAAAGAATTCTGGGAAAAGCAATGAAAGCAGAATAGATGAAATGGAAGAACGAATAAGTAATCTTGAAGACACAGAAATAAAAAGAACCAAAACAGAAAAGGAAAGAGAAGTACGAAGGAAAAAGAACGAAGAAAGACTTCGGGAACTATCTGACTCCATGAGGAAAGGAAATATAAGAGTTATAGGAATACCAGAAGGAGAGGAGAGAGATGTAGGAACAGAGAAAATATTCAAAGAGATAATTGAAGAGAACTTCCCAAATGTGAAGAAGGAGCTGAAAATTGATATACAAGAAGCAAGAAGAACACCAAACTTCCACGACGAAAGGAAAAATACAGCAAGACACATAATAGTAAAGCTCCCAAGAATCCAGGACAAGGAAAAAATAATGAAGCTGGCAAGAGGGAAGAAACAGATAACATTCAAAGGAAAGCCAATCAGGCTGACATCAGACTTCTCCGAAGAAACACTACGGGCAAGGAGAGAATGGAGGGACATAGTCAACAGACTCCAAGAAAACAGATGCCAACCAAGAATTCTCTATCCCGCAAAGCTCTCCTTTCTCTTTGAAGAAAGAATATGGACCTTCCCAGACAAACAGAAACTCCGGAATTTCATTGCAACTAAACCCCCACTCCAAAAAATACTACAAGGAGTCCTAAAGCCAGAACCTCAGAGGGACGAATAACAATGAAAGAAGGCCAAAAAAAAAAAAAGTTATTAAAAGAATAAATAAATAAAATCAAAGGAAAGACAAACACAATGGCAAATACAGATGCTAACATATCAATATTAACTCTAAATGTAAATGGACTAAACTCTTCAATAAAAAGACACAGAGTTGCAGCCTGGATTAAGAAACAAAACCCAACCTTTTGCTGTCTCCAGGAAACACATTTAGCTACAAAAGATAAAAATAGGCTCAAAGTTAAAGGATGGAAAACAATCCTACAAGCAAATGGACCAAAAAAGAAAGCAGGAACAGCTATACTTATATCAGATAAAACAGATTTCAAACTCAAAAAGATAAAAAGAGACCCCAATGGTCACTACATTATGATCAAGGGGACAATACTTCAAGAAGAAATAACACTCATTAACATATACTCACCAAACGAAGAGCACCAAAATATATCAGACAACTGTTGTCCTCTCTGAAAACAGACATCAGAGAAAACACATACATAGTGGGAGACTTCAACACACCACTATCAACAATGGATAGATCAACAAGACAAAAATAAGTAAAGAAACAAAGCTCTAAATAAGGACCTAGAGCATTGGGCTTAACAGACATCTATAGAACATTAAACCCAAAAAAAACGGAGTACACATTTTTCTCAAGCGCACACGGATCATTCTCCAGGATCGATCACATACTGGGGCACAAGACAAACATCAACAGATACACCAAGATTGAAATCATATCAACCATCTTTTCTGACCATGAAGGCATCAAACTAGAAATAAACCATAAAAAGAAGGCAAGGAACTTTCCTACCTCATGGAGATTAAAAACCACACTACTGGAAGACCACTGGACTAATGAGGAGATCAAAGAAGAAATTAAAAAATTTTTTGAATTGAACGACAAGGAGGACAC